GGGCCCCCCCCCCCCGATGACAGCCCCTCCCCCAGCCGCCCAGCACCGTACTCCCCACACACCACCTGGAGTCCCCTGCACAGGGGATGGAGAGGCAATATTGGGCCTGTTCTCTTTGCACCACACAGCACCAAGTGCATTGCTTCCTATCAGAAAGAAAAATTAGAAACAGTGACTAAGTGCTCAGCTCAGCCCACAAAGCCTCTTTAAAATCTCAGCATTTATGAGTATCTTTTTTTACTATATGTTATTGAAAGCATCATATATTTTAATAGAGATACAAAATTTGGATTCCTGTGGCTGCTTCAGAGCCATAAATAGTTTTTCATGCATTCTTAATTGGGAAAACAGGTTACAAATAAACTTTAGTAACACTGCCTATTTCGACATTAAAGACTGGCTGTATATAAAAGTACAGAAAACCTCTATATTCACTGAATCAGGATTTGTGGTCAAAAAAATGCAAGCCTGGTCCTCCCTACCTGTGGTGGCCTTGGCCGCCTCCTCCCCACGGTTGCTCCCTTGGGCCACCTGCGGAAGCCCCAGATGCAAGCGGACTCAGCAAACGCTGCAGCTGCTGCAGGGGTCTGTGAGCCCGAAGGCACAGCCACGGCTGTGTGACACGAGGAGCCGGCCGGCGTCAGGAGCACAGATGTTTCCATGGGTATGCAGATATGACTTGCCTAAGTTTTTCCTCAGGAATCAAACTTGACACTGTGGAGTGTGGCCAGGTGCTGAGCTCGGGGCTGGCTGTGCCGACCGCTCGCCAGGCCTGGTCCCTGCAGGTCACCTGACCCTCAGAAGCCCCGATGACACGAGATAATGTGTGTAAATTGGCTGTGTATAGTAAGCACAGAAAAAATTCATACCCGTTATAATTCTCTAGACATCAGATTTCACACTGAAATGAAATTAGTTGTTTTGGGGTTTTTTTTACCAGGTTTTGACTTTCCCACAAAACTCACATACAGCGCCTTTTGGGCCTGGTGCATAAGTAGCCATGTTGTCAGCCTGCTCAGGTTTCTGCTCTGTCTTTTTCCAGGTTGCCCGGCTCATGGAGATGGGATTTTCCAGAGGTGATGCTTTGGAAGCCCTGAGAGCTTCAAATAATGACCTCAATGTGGCCACCAACTTCCTGCTGCAGCACTGATGGTCCCAGGTTGACACCAGGACCAGCCCAGCTGCTGAAATGACAGTGGCGTGATCCCCGCCACCCAGCCAGCCATGAGGACCAATCAGGCCCTGGTGCTGATGTCCTCATGGGGAGAGGGGCGTCCCCACCACACCCCGTCCTTAACTTCACGATTGTTACCGTTATAGTATCTAAATAAGTTTGCCGTTAAATTGGCCTGTATTTTCTCTCTTTATTTTTTTATTGGGCATTTTCCTTAGTTTGGAGAATCATCTCTTATTCCTAATGTGTTTTAAATGGATTGAAATTGCAGATTTCTGCAGGCAGTTGCATAGCTGTCCAGGTGGGGAACTGCCACTGTTGCCACAACTTCTTCTTACGCAGTTCATTGTCCTGCAACCATCTGATCTTATCATCGTGGAGGGGAAAAGCAGTGTTGTCTCAGAAAGCACATATCAAATTATTCCTGATGGACTTTTTAAATCGCTATTCTTTTTTCTCAAGCTTGTTTCCGGGCCCCAGTGGCTGTTCAGGATCTGCACTTCCTAGGGGACGAGCAGTCTCAGCCAGGCCTGGGTGCTGAGGGAGAAGCAGGGAGCCAAGTGTCCTCCACACTGCTCCAGCCCATTCCAGTGCGGGGAATTTTCCCCAACTCGTCCTCCCCACTTCCATTAAAAAATGATGAAAGTAATCAAGTACTGATTTGAGATTCTGGAATACTCCATGACACTTAACTGGGGTTAATTTTGCTCAGATCTGCAGAGGTAGCCACTCAGGCGAGGGGGTGAAATGGGACAAGAGAACAGTGCACCTCCTGGAGCCATGCAGGGCTGACTAGGGAACTCGGTGGCTAGCCCAGTGCGACGAGGAAATACCTTGCCCGACCCCCTGTCCACTGCAGGGCTGACCTGCCTGGCCCTCCCTGCCTGCATCCAGCCTGTCTGGCAGCAGGCTCTCCCCGGACCCCAGTCATAGTTCCCCAGCAGTGGGCGACAGAGCAGACTGCAGTGGAGGCCGATCGGGAGAGGGTGAAGGCAGGAGGAGGGCTGCCGTGTGCAGGAAAGACCTGAAGCAGGTGGACTGTTGCCATGTAAGGAACCGTGCAACTGTTATGTTCTGCAAAATGAGCAGCAGTGTATCAAATTGATGCAAATTTAGATGTGTGATACAATAAAGTTTTTAATGTGTTTTACTTTTCAATATTGCTTATTAGACTTAGCTGAATAAGACTTTGTTCTAGGCTGTACTATTTACCACCAAGAGAAAAAAATTGCCAGACTGTTCATCTCTCTTTAGAAGACTTGGGTGCTTTTTTGAAATGAGTGGAGCACTTTTGTTCGTGTAAGTAGCACTGCCCCCGGAACACCGCCAGGTCAGTGGCATTACCATGTGAGAGCCTGGAACCTCAGGCCTCAGTGAGGCCCCATCCTTAGGCTATTCTGAATGGGGACTGAGATGACTTTCTGGGGGGCTAGATGGTCCCACGCACAGGCCCTAGTTGAATCTGAGTGTCCCCATCTTAGGTTGTGAGGAACAGTTGACAGCAGTGGAGACGTCCTTAACTTCATTCATTGACCCAAACACAGTGAAGACTGCCTGAGCGTGCACTGCATGGAGATGTACCACCTCTGAGGCCAATCAAAATCCACCCTCCAAACTGCCTAATGCAAAAGACAGCCCAGTATCCAAAACTACACCATCTCCTATATTCCTTCTCACCTTCAAATAGCACCTAACAAGGTAAACCAAACCCAAGGCAAAGTTCTCCCAGAGGGTGGGGGCAAATAGCCCCATGGTAAGTACCACGAGTCACAGGCCTAAGTGCAGCAGGATTCACCATCCCACAGTTGTTTGCTAACCAGGATTCCCTCCTAAAAGTGATTACATCTCAGAGAGCTTTGTCCTGCCCAAAGGAACCTAGTGACCCTCAATTTCAGTCCTTTAGAGAGTAGGGAATTGAGGACATGCATGGTGGCAGATCAGGTTTTCTTAGTTCTTTCAGTCTCTTTCCTCGTTTCTCAGAGCTACGAAAGCCTCCCCTTGCCAGTGGTGGCCCATTATTTTCCGTCCTTGCCATGCAGCTGCCAGGCTGTTCTCTCCCTTTATCACCACCCTCTGGATCTCATAACACACATCTGTCTTTTCACCCCGAGCACATTTTCTCTGCCTTACGTTCCTGTGGCTAGCCCACTCTTGCTTCCTGCAAATACTGACAAACTGCAGCCATCCACTGCAGATTTTGAATTCCCAAGAACACCACACCTCTTGTCAGACACCCAGAAAACTTTCAGGCTGCTGGCACCCCCAAAGGGAGACCTCAAATGGCGGTGTGTGCCAGAGGGGGGCATCAGCGAGCCATTCAAGTCAGTTTCCCAAGGTGTAAAAAAGATCATTTAGGCTTTTGATTTTGTGCACTGGAACAGATTGGGCTTAATTTTCAAGCAAGCAGGTTCCAGATTGTGAAATGAGAAGAGGGAAAAAACTGTCTATAGTGAACCTTGCCTTTCCAAAATCAAGGAAAACCTACCTCTGAAGTCTCGATTTATAAACCTAGACTGAGTTTGGAATTAGAAAGGTAAAGATTTTAGAGAAATTGAGAACAAAATTGGAAATGCATTCCAGTGTCGTTCAGAATGTTTTGTGGATCTCTGAGTGTATGTTCCTACAATTGTTCTTAAATTGAAACGGAAGTGTCTAAAACCATCAACCTAAGAGTTTTATCTTAACCAGATAGCTTAAGTGACACTTAATTTGTGAGATTCGGAAGGTTATTTTCTTTACAGTCCCGTCCTGACACAGTGTATGTTACAGGGATGGACCAAGAGTTCCCAAACTGGCTTTCTGGCTCAGACTAAAGTTTCACTCCTGCAACTAAAATCTTACATGTGAGAAAAATTGCCAGAATTATGTAAATTTACTAACCTGCTTGATACAGCTGGCTGTGTCTAGTGGGGAAACAGCACCATAGCTAAATTGTGATGGTGCTACCGGCAGAGTTGGGATTTCAGGCAGAGAGAAGGGCCGGGGCTGGGGCCGGTTTGGGCTGCAGAGGCTGGGGCAAGTGGTCGCTGGATGTTGGAAGCCAGTCTGAAGCGAGGCGGGATTAGAGCCAGGTTGGGAGTCCTGCGTTAGTGGTAATGGAGTAAACTGGGCGACGGGTCGGGAGAGAGGAGAGAAGAGGCTTAACGGGGGGCCTTGAGTTTGAGCACCTGGCGTGGAGGAAGAGGCAGAGAGTGACAGCAGCATCGTGAGAAGGCAGCCCCAGTCGGAAGGAGGACATCAGGAGGGCGGGGCAAGGTGGTGGCAGCACAGCGGTGGCAGGTTCTAGAAGGAAGGAAGGAGCTAGACTGTGAGGACGAGTGAGAAAGCGGAGGTGACATAGGCTCGCGCAGGAAATTTGGTGGGGAAGGAGGAGGAGAGCCAGTGACACGGGCTCAGAGAGGGGTGTGATCAGGGCCCGCGAGGAGGGTTGACCTGGAGCGAGGAAGGACGCTGCAGTGCCCCGGAGGAACAGAGGGGGGAGAGGACCAAGGGTGAGCTACAGGCGCAGCGTCCAGCTTCTGCATAGAGAAGGGAGGCTGGGGCAGCGGCCCGAGGGGGCTGGGAACTTAAGGAGGGTGGAAGGGGGTCTTTATACAAGAAGAGCGCGAAGACTGTGTATTGGCCAGAAACAAGGGCTTTGGCCACTTTGGTATGTGAACTCTGCAGTAGTGGGGTCTGCCGGACCCCTTAGCCTCTGGGAATTTCCGAGATCCTAGAGATTTAGAAAGGAATTCAGACAGTCCCAAGAAACTAGAGTGCACAGGCTCCTCGGTGTCCTCATGCAGGCCCACAACATCCCAGAGAAGCCCATTGGTCCTGTGACCTTTCTGGAATGTTCTGAGCTGCTCGAGGAGTTTGCGTAGAGTTGGAGCGGGAATGGAAGAAAGAGGAGCCCAGGACTTGGGGGAGTAGGTGGGGGGGGGGGTCTTCGATAGAAATCTACCCAGGCCGAAGCCTGCGCTTCTAGTTACCTGGAGACCCACCCTGGTCCTCACCCAGACACAAGATACCATTAGGGACTCTGGGGAACTGTCCCCAATTGGCCAGACCTGGACTTTCCAGGGCCTCCAACTTGGCCACAGCAAAACAAAAGCAGCAACAAAGGCATCGTGTAACTCACAGTAAGACTAGAGAGAACCTATGGGTCGCAGGTCCATAGAATGTTCCAACTAGAAGTGAACATTTATCTAGGTTAAGCCTGCATCTTACAGGTGAGGAGAAGGGCAGAGAGGGAGCCAAGTTAGCCCAGCTGGGCTCACGGCAGGACACGGTGGCCTTGAGGCCGAGGCCAGCTCCCCTGTGGCAGGCCTGTCCTCAGCCTCTCCCCTGCCTGCTGCTGGTGTCCCCACAGTTGGCACCACCCCCTCTGGCTGCCCCACCTGGGCAGTGGGAGGAGAGGAGAGGACCCCAGGTTGGCTCCTCAGGCTCCCCTTGGGACTGTCCTGGTCCCTTACTCCACCCACCATGCCCAGGAGCACCTGCAGCTCCTCTCCCAGACTGGCCGCCCTGCTGTCTGCAGGACGAGGGGAGTCCCTGAAAGACGCTGCAGGGGACACAGGCCGGGACTCCTCCCTTGGGGTCAGAGTTTTCTCCCAAACCCACCACATCTGCCCGAAGCCACGTCCAACTGGCCATCCCTGTGCTGCTGTCACACTCATACACTTAGTATAACCCTGCAGGCAGAGTGGAAAATGGGGCCTCGAAATCAAAGGTGCTCCCCTAACACTGAGGATGGCATCCCTGCGACTTTCTAAATTGTTTTGGTGACAATGCAATATCTCTTCCTGAGATTATATTGGCACAGAGGACAATTCGCCTTCGCACATGTGGCCAGTTGGAACCTGAACAAAAGACTGGATTTGACGTCAGGGCCTTGATAACCAGATGACGTAGGGCACACAGAGCCTTTGCAAACCACTTATTCCTTGACCAAAGACCGACCCCAGGCTTGGTTAAGTGATGAAGACTGGGTTTCAGTCCCTGTAACAGCGTCCCCTTACTTTCATCCAGTGTGTTTGCTGTAAAGAGAGGAGCTCTCAGAAGGCTTGGGAAATGCTAAGGGCAAGGGCCCTGGGAGGCAGTGACAAAGGAGACCTGGCTCCTTGCTCCTCTGGGTCCAGCGAAGCCACTCTTCTGATCAGCCCAGCCCGCCCAGAGACGGCTTTGTTCCCAGGTGGGAGAAGCCAGGCCCAGGAGCCCATGTGACAAGCTTGCCTGTTTCACAAACTCCTCATTTCATTTCTTCACGAGGAACCATCACAAGGTGTGCTCTTTTGCTGTCTTGAAAAGTCTGTGCACAAAGCTTTTTATTGTAACGTTGTGGTACAAGTTTAGTATCCCTTATCCAAAATGCCTGGGACCAGAATTGTTTTGGATTTCAGATCTTTTTGGGTTTGGGAATATTTGTAGATATGTAAACAGTTGAGCAACCCTAATCTGGAAATCCAAAATCTGAAATGCTCCAATGAGCATTTCCTTTGAGCATCACTGGTGCACGAAAAATTTTAGATTTGGGAGCACTTCAGATTTGGGATTTTCAGATAAGGGATACTCAACCTGAATGATGTTAAACAGAAGTACTATATTTGTCTTAGTCCTTTTCCTGCTGCTGTAACAGAATGCCACAGACTGTCTCATTTATAAAGAACGGGAGTTCATTTGGCTCAAGGTTCTGGAGGCTGGGAAGTCCAAGAGCATGGCCCCGGCACCTGGAGAGGGTCATCCCATGGCAGAAGGCATCACGTGGCAAGACAGAGAAATGGGGGTCGAACTGATCTTTTTATCAGGAGCCCACTCCTGCGATAACAGCATCGATCTATTGGTGAGGTCAGAGCTCTCATGACCTAATCACCTCTTAAAGGCCCCACCTCCCAAATGGCAATGAAATTTCAACATGAGTTTTGGAGGGGACATTCAAACCATAGCAGTATTGTATATGAAAGCTGACCAGTCTAGTACTATCTATATAGATTTTGCAAAATCCACATCTGTGTTCCCTGTGACTAACGACAGTTTTTCTGTGTCGGGACCACAGAGGTCTTTTGCTAATAGGGCAGAGTCTTGGTTCCTGGAGTTTGGTGGATAAGTGCCTGCCTCTTCTCAGCAGGCGGGACCCTCCTGCACTTAAATGTGCACAGGATGAATGTGATAGTAATATT